ACAGAAGAAAAAAAAATGAAAAGTAAGGGAACTTTTTGGCACAATGGGTTAGAATACTCCAACAACGCTGATTCCAACTTTCTAGAGAATAACCAGATCTGGCACCTATGAAGATATATTATTGATTCGTTGAACTTAACGCGTTCAAGACGGGTGGGTTCCTTAGTTAACCGAGGCAAAGTGGTGACTCAATCAGGAGTTAGCTGGTATTTAAAAACCGAGCCCAGTCTTCCTTGTTGTAATCGGAAGAAATGTCAGTCGGTCGGTTGGGTTTCAAAGAGCGATAGAGATGAGTAATCCTAAAAAATGCAATCAAAATGCTACGAAAGACGGTTTTAAAGCGGGCAGTGTGATCGTGCCCAGGAGTTCTATTGTCGAGTGTTGTCAGTCTCGTTCTGGCATCAAAGATCGAAATTTCATCATTAATATTTAGTTGTGTGATTCATATCATAAAATGTTGGTGTTTTTACACGTCCATTTTTATTTATTTATTTATTCATTTCTTTTTCTTTTTTTCGGCTTACTATTATCTGCCTGCATTTTTGGCAATCTATTTGTCTATTTACAAGATAAGTGAAAAACGTTGACAAAATAACTTTAAACTTTCGACGGGAAGATGATCTTGCATAAACGGCCCGAAACGTATCTCGATTTATTTATTATAAGACTATGCAATGGGACCTTGAAAAAGAGACCGAATGAGAATGTTTGGTATGGGAAAAAGGGTGGGGAGGGCTGAAGAGACTTTTGGGATGTGTCTCTGGGTGACATAATCAACTGCCTACAACACACTTCCTACATGTATAAGACGCCTCATCCTTTTTTATCAAGCTCCCTGTTACACAAAAAAGCAAGAATATGACAGGGGTCGCCCAATGGTCGCCAAAGCCAGAAATCTGTGTATCTGTGTAAATGCAGCGATTCTTGTGCCTCCATTTAATGACCCAATCTGGACTTTTCAGTGGTGGATTTAGAAGGGGGGGGGGCAGGGGGTCCTGACCCCCCCTCCCCTTCGGTTTCTGAAAATCCAATGGCCCCTCTTGAAATTAGAATTTTGACTAGCTGAATCATAGTTCTCAACCGTACCAAATGGCACCGTTCGACCTGTAAAATACCGAAATTTTTCGGGGCCCTGAACCCCACGTCAAGGGGGGGGGGGGTCGGCTTCGCATCGACCGACCCTCCTTCAAATAATCCTGGATCCGCCCCTGCTTTTCCTGTAGAACTTCGAGCGAAATGTGTGTCCACTGAGCGACTTGCCTGCCTCCTCTTTGCGTCCCATATGGCACCTTCGGCGTCTAACACGATTGAAGACGAGCAGATCCCAAAGATCGCAATCGTCGAGCTTCATCTTTACCATCTCTGTACCATCATCGATTCAGCGACCAATGGCGATGAGGGGCGGTCATTCAACCATGCTCCTGCCTCTTATGGGAATGATGAGCGTTGTTTGGCCGATCTTTGGCAACTGCCGGACAATCTGGGTACATTCTGGGTCTTTTAAAATTTTTGTTCAGTTCTATATCTGCCTTCCAAGTAAGAACATCTCCAGAAAACAGATAATTAATGATGAACAACCAGTCATTGCATGCTACTGTTTTACAACCAGATGGTAAATTCTGTCCATGTAAGCAGGATGGACAGACGTAGATGGATCTATGAAGTTTGTGGGTCCAATGCTGCCTGATACCACACAGAACTGCAAGAACTGTGGCAAGAACAGTGGCTAGAACTGTTACCGAAGATCTCTTCTTTAATTTGTGAAACAAAGTACCAATAGGACAGCAAGATTGGAAGCTGGTGTAAAGCTAGTCGCTGGTGACAGGTGCTCTTGCTAACAAGGCAATTATTAGACTTAGAATTTCAAAGATAAGAGAATGGACTCTACATGTACATCCCTGATGTGCTGGTCGCGACAAGTCATTTCAAATAAAGCAAGCATAAAATTCAAGGAAGGCAGACGGCAGTTTCGGCCTTACACGTAATGCAGGTAAGGTTTTTGGGGCTCTGCGTTACAAAGATGTGACGTCATTTACACAAGGTGAGCTACACAGAGCCAGGGCCAAGCGCGTCTTTTAAAATGTGAACTGCCCTAGCTATCCTTGAGTCTCCTTTGAATGGCCAAATTTGGACTGAGTCGCTTGTCTGCCTCTCCTGTGCGTCTTCTGTGCATTCTAAGGCGTCCAACGCGATTATAAGGTGCGTTCACAAAAAAACTTTCGCACTGGGTATATCGATCCAACTCCGATGATTGCAAACAGATAAAAAGATAAACACGTTGAGTAGAACGCAGAAATGGTGGTGATAATACGAGTACGCTGGAAACAAGAGAGGGCGTGCCAATCAGTAAATATGATTGCATTCAGCGAGAGTCTCCGCAGAGCTGAATCGATACAATACGATACGATTGTTTCATTGTGAACGCATCCAGAAAGAAGGCAGACGACGCCAGTCTATGTTTAAGCAACCATGACACCTTTGGTGCTTTATCATGATGGGCAACCTGAAGTGCTTGGAGATATTCTGGCTCTTTTCCCGAGAACGCATTGTCAGGGCAAACATATAACTACCGGGTACGATACCTTAGGCAGAACAACCTGAGGCACGTTTCTGTCAATATCTTTCATCTCCTTCCCCCCCTTTTTTTTTACCATTTACCGATATCAATAGACAATGATATCTTCACTATCTTATCATAAACAAGCTTCTTTTCCAGCGCCGTTACACCAGGTGCTTGATTTAGACACAAAATAACTAGTGTTATTTAGATATAGTTCTGATGATATCTGTTTATTGGATGGGTGGTAAGTGGCGAGGTTAAATGAGGCCAAACACCTGATTTCACTTATTATAACTGAAGTTGTTTGTGTGACCTTTCAGGTCTCCTTGTTGGCACGATTACTCAGACCAACATTTTTTTAAAATTAAGAAAATGATGATTATAAATGACTGAGTATAGTCTCTAGGCCTTTAAAGGAAGGGGGCTCGTGTTATGTCATGAATATCTCCAATTAATTAAATATTTAAAGATAAAAGATAAAGCAGTATGATTTTTATGAGGAGAGAGGTTTGTTTTAACAAAAAAACTTAAATTGCACGGAGGCTTCATTAACAACGCATTCAGTTTCAACTGATTCAATAATGATGTCTTGTGACATCTGGTTAAATTTTGGTTCTAAAACTCGCGATATTCAAATCGCGATATTCAAATTGGCATATATGTCTTAATTGACAAAATTGAACTCGATGCAATTAAATGACCATTATTAAGCACTTGTGCATTGTGTTTTATTTACGGTTTCAGTTATTGGCCTAGTTGAGTTTTGGATAATATTTGTCGGGATAAAGTTGAAATCTTATTCAAAATCGATTTGGCAGCCCTAAACAGCTTTCACGTGTCAAACTTTTCAACCGTCTACTACATGTAAAATCTTATTTTGTCGTCTGTGAGTTTTCAGCTATACCGTTCTAACAGAACATCAATAAAATTATCTAAAGTCATCTTTGGTGTTTCAGGGCGTCCCTTAACAATTCTTTCTCTAAGAGATCATCCTTCCTTGGTGTTCCATAGTTATAAGTGACATGCAAAAGCCGTGGCGTAATTTGGGAACATGGCACTAGGATACAATACACGTGCCATTTGATTATGAAGGCAATGGGGGGGGGGGGGGGGAGTGTTTAACTTTTTAGCGTCTAATTTGTCCGTATTGTAACGTCCTAACAAAAGGTGCTCGTGACATCATCATACGTACTTTTTTCCTTAGATACGTCCAGCTACAAATATACAGTTATTTTATTCTTCATTCGACTTAAGCTCTCCTTAATAGTTATTAAAATGTTTTTTTTAGGATGAAACGTGCCTTTGGGCAATATAAAACTAAAATATATAAATAACACAGTGAAAAGTGTTTAATGTTCTTTTTAAAGGAACTGGATGTTCTTAGACGTGGACAAGAAGTTACAGCAATGGCCTTTTCTTATCTCTCTCTGACTACTGCGTATATTGATGTCAAACTGATTAATTCTTAGATAAAACAACATATTAAATTTGTTTGACAAGCAATTTTATTGATACGACTTTTCAAAAAGGAAACAAAAACGGAAGATATAAGATAACAGCAAAAAAGTACACACTTCTTTTATTATACAGAAGACAAACATCATAATTGCAACAAAGCCTTCAGAAGATTTTTGTCTCCAGTTCTGGTTTTAAGAACACTCTTTAGGACAGAAAAAGCGCCATAATGCACAAAGAAGTCAAGTAATAGACAAAGTTATTCAAGTAGTTCGATAGTATTCACTGTGGTGGTAAAAAAGGCATAATTTTTCTCTCTATGGACTTTGCCTTACAGAACTTGATTAACCTGATTTGTCATATGCAAATGGTTTACTGGCATTGTTTTGCAATTTTTACCACTGTGCTTTAAGGTGTTATTCCTGTAGTAATAGCACTGTAAACGGACGAGCTACACAATTTTGGCTTTTCCCTTGGTAACACACTTACCACTTAACATTTAAAACGTATTTGATTACAGCTCTGCTTTTTTTACTACAACTATTTTCCACACTTCAAAATAATAATAATATAACATATATATGACAAAAAACATATTTCTTGGACTAGTTTTATGTTAACAACAGTAAAAATACCTATATTACACAAATATTCACTTAATACTGCTCACAGCCAAATTTCCAGGTGCAAGAATATACTATGTACTCAATATAAATAAGAAATTAATCATCTTAGAGGTAAGCCAACTGAAAAGATCTTGGAAACTAAAGAAGAGACACTTACATAATGCTTAAAGTTAATAATGATATTTGACAGAAAAAATTCTGTGCTGCTGCAAATGAATATCATCAATTCTGTTTCTACACAGATCAGAAAAAGACATGAGAGTTAGCAAGTTTCTGTTCTCATAAAATTCTTTTTTTTTCTTGTTACAATATAATTTTATGAAAAGCTATCACAATGAATGATTGCAAAAATTATTTGAATGAAAAAAGCAAAAAGTATAACAAGCAAAACTTTTCAAAAAGCTGAGAGGTTGGAAATTACTTCAAAAATATAATCAGCAGGAATGTTTGTAAATAGCATACAATGCTGCGGTCTGCAAATCACAAATGAGTATTTTAACAATGACCAGCAAAACAAACATCCAAAAATGAAGAGTAAAATAAAGTAATTCACTCTTCTGACAGTCAAATATTGAATAATTGTCTTTTTTTATTATAAAATAACTTTGGTAACTTTCTGTAAAAACTGGAGCCTTAACTACAATCTTTTTTTTCTAAGTAGTTTCAACCTGGTAATTTGTATCCAACATTCCATGGAGAGGCTGGCAGAAAAATGCCTGTTTACAGCCACATTTCAAAATGTCACATTACTTTTGAGCCAGACATCAAGCCAATGCCTTGGAAAATTGCCCATATTTTAAAGGTTTCTCATAAAACTGGCTGTTCAATGAGTATAATGAGGAAATGGGGTGGTATGAAAATATCACAGTTTGAAATTGACTATTTATCCCTTTCTTTCATTGCTACTGACTTTCTACATGTCATAGTATGCCTCATGCCATATGTTTCCAGACTTCTTCAGGGACCTAGAGCCAAAATAGAAAAAAAAAACATTATTTAAAACAGTTTTGGTTATCATATATGTAAGTAAGTTTATATGTATACATTTTGTGTATTTATGCATTATTTATTTATTTATTTATTTTGCTGTGTTTGTGCGTGGAAAAGAAAAGAGACAGAAAATGGCATCACTTTGTCTAAAGTAATATACCTTACCAAAATCTCATAATGTCACATTGATATCAGAACTTTAGAAAACAAGACAAGCTGCACATCAAAACCAGCCCTTTGTATGGCAAGGATGGAGGATGAAGCGGCTTGTGGCATTTCGAATGAAGCCGTGATGTTAAATGGCAATTATCTCAAATTCTTCTAAGGTTACATGGGTAATCAGCTGCATCGAATGTTGGACATGATCTGCCGTAAGTTGTTGTTCTGCTGATGAATCACACCATGTGGGTGTTTAACAAGAAAAACCTGATGGCTTCACTTCAAGGCAGTGTATTTTACTCATCATTGAGGTTCAATTCTCAATGTTTTCTGTCGTTATTCTGTTGTTTTAAATTATTCATTTAGAAGAGAAGAGAAAAGGCGCCATAAAGCAATCAAACTTTCCCTTTTTTTTTTTTTTACTTCATGGCACTTTTCATCGCTTTTTCCTGGATGAATGTCTGGGGCTTAAAAATTGCACTTGCAATAAAAACCCATTTTTGAGTTTAGACTCTCAGGACAATAAGATTATTATAAAATGTAGTAGATGTTTAGAAAATTTTGCAACCAAGAGAGACTATTAATGTTACTGAACCTGTGTTGAGTGCTAACAACTTTTCATTATCAAGTAGGCTCACCTCACAATATCTCCAAATGCAGTTAGCAGAGGCTTTGACAGGTATGGGATCTGGTGCTTCTTGCACATGGACTTGACTAGTGGAGCCACCTTGTGGTAATTATGACGAGGCATTGTAGGGAACAGACTGAAATAAAAAATATATAATGAAAACTTACTCCATACAGTATTTAAATTAATTTATATCTCACTACAAATAAAAAATGGAAACAGAAATAACAACCTCAAATACTTCAGGGCCCAGTTTCATCAACACTGGATAGCGGTATCCACTGGATAACACTATCTATTACATATAATTGTTACCCTCTGGGCAACTTTCCTGTGGGGAAAGAAATGTTTACTTAACACTAGATACTTATTTTTTGTCTCTGATATTGATTTCCAGTGGTTGGAAAAAGGCTGCTATCCTCAGGATAACTGTCCAGAGGATAACAATTTTTATCCAAAGGATAGTGTTATCCATAGGATAGCGCTATATCCAGTGTTGATGAAACTGGGCCCTGATCTACTGGTATTGTGAAGTCATCAAGTCAGCGCATATATTGACCTTATACAAATTGAGGCCATCATGTCAGGGCACATGTTGACCTGCTGTACTGGTAAAGTGAAGTCATCAAGTCAGCGCATATATTGACCTTATACAAATTAAGGTCATCAGGTCAAGGCACATGTTGACCTGATGTACTAATATTGTGAAGCCATCAAGTCAGGACACCCTGACCTGATATATACCTAATGTGACTGGTAACTCAGCTTTGACTTCACAGAGTGAGTTGTGGCTCACTGAAAATTACACTTGCTGCTGAGAGCATGAAGAAAACAGGATATGTATCAGTGCTTCAATGTCTGAGTAATAAATGTCACTTTATTCACTGAAAGTTACCAGAAAAGGTCAAGATATAATAGCTTACATTGGTTTTATTGGATCACTGATAAATATATGGAGGCTTTAGTGCACATTCACTCAATAGGCATTATAAAAAATTCTGTATTTGAAGGCTGTACAAATATGTGCTTAAATTAATATTGGTTTCTTTTTTTTACAGTGACTGATTTAAGGAATAACCTAGCCCAGATTTATGTCATTTCTACCCCTCAGATGAAATTTCAAAAATAGAAGCAGGAGGGAAAAGAAAGATAGACGAATGCAGTGTATAATGAAACTTTCATGACTTTCCTGTTAAATATCATGCAATAAACTGGAAGCTCCCTGAAGCAACTTTTTAATGTTTTGACCTTTTTCAATCCACACCAAACACACCGTGGCATTTCACAGGGAAATGTTTAGCCAAGGAGAGCAGTGGGATACTGACAGGGGGCTGATGGCTGAGGAGAGGGGGGGGAGAAGTAAACGCCTTGTAGGCATTTATGGAAATACTGTGCCAAACAAAGGCCGGATGTCATTTCAAAGGAGCATTCAGTTGAAGTGCATGCATGCATGTGTGCATGTGCATGTGCACAGTGGTATGTGTGTGTATGTGTGTGTGTGTGTGAAGGGGGAATGCTTGGTGGTGGTGAAGACTTGTTCAGTCACCTTTAACAAAACAGCAATAAGAGTTGAAACTGTATGGAAGAAGATACAAAACATGCCTTAGCATTTTGGTTTATAAAGAGGCAGGGAACTTAACAGACTAAAATAAATTGCTTTTCTCTTGTACTGTCAGACCTGTGCTTCCCTAATAAGGACAAGGAACAGGCTGTATACATACATGTATTTCAGTAAACAAACAGCAGTATGTCACATACATATACATGCACAACTCTCAAAATTAGGAGTTGAATAAACTGGAAAGTTTAAATGCTATCTTAGGGGCAAATCTCAATGAAAATAGCGAATGCATGAAGTGAAATTATTTTGCTTGTGTTTGTATAGCTTTAAAAAAAGAAGCATTTTTATTTGGATCGTACTCTCCCTATCAGCACCCACATGCAAGGCAGCATCACAAAAAAGTGTTGCTTACTACCATTTCATCTTTTTGAGCCTTATAACATTCTTGACTGTGCCAATATACATGTAATGCTATATAATTTCATGAAGTTTAACAACTGAGAAAAAAAGTAGGTAAATGGATATTGCAACAAAAGCTTAACCAACTTAACATGTGCACTTGTTAAAATCTGTATATATTTTTTAGTTTATTCTTCAGAAAGGGGAGTGAACTTAAACCACAAAATAAAAAAAAATACAGTGATCAAACAAAACTAGTCACATAAGCTGTGGTAGCACTAGCAATTTTTTTTGCTTAGCCAAATCTCTATTTTTTCATCACTTTTTTCTTCAAATGATTTAAATTTGACTAAAACAAGTCAAATCAATCCTATTTTGTTTAGACAATTTAAGTCAGTTTTAGCATTTGGCTAATTGGTGAGTGTTAGCACTACCCCAGATAAGGTTTCAATTAACCTGCTTTAACTTCCAAAAGTATCAGAAAAAAATCCAGATATAATAGAAAATTATGTACCAAGTGCCATACCTAGACCACACAATGGCATTACTGGATAAGTAACTAATTAATTAATGTGAGACTGAATTCACTGTTTATTAATCAATATTGCATTTGGTAGCACTGTGATAATTCTTTTAATACTAAATCAACAAATCAATTACTCTGGTATTTTTAGAAGAGGGCCTCAAGCCCCACCTTTTCTTCCCCTCTCCTGATATTTAGTATCTAATGGGTCACTAGAAAAATATGTGCATGCCGTCTTTTAAGATTTCAAACACTGTCTTCCCTTTTAGTTTTTCCTCAACATTTTCACATACCATGAAAAAGAAATAGCACTGTTACCTCTCCGTAAATCAATGGTTTCAGTTTGTAGGAATATAATGAGCAATTTTTTTATAAACAGAAGCAAAAATGCTGGGAATTTGCCCTTTTAAATTCTTTTAAACACAAGTCAGCAGATATGTATGTGGGTTAGTCAATCTTCCGTGTTCATGCAGGCTGCTTTGAATGTAGGATTGCCTGAGAGTTTTGTACATATTTGTGACTAAGCACAGTGCACGTTGTGAATGCATGTGCATCAGTGTGTGTGCATGCATGTGTGCACTGACAATATCTTTCTTGTAATACAACAGGCATATCATTTCATTTAATTGGACTACTTGTGATTGATCTTGGGTCAAAGTAAACAACAGATACATTTACAATGAAATTATTAACTTCCATGTGTGCCCAGTTTCTGGAAGCTGTTTCACTTCGTTTTGAGTTTGAAAGAGCACACACAAAAGTCAATCACTCCATAGCTGTTTGAGGAGCCATATCATTCTGTTAACCTGATTGCATTCGGCTAGAATTCCTGTTGAGTTGGATTGAACTACCTAGTGCAATGGTTTCATTGTTAACGCACCCTAACATTTTGGTCTTAAATTTAGATTAACCTCCAGGCTGATGTGCTTTTGAGATGCGGGTCCTGGTGTAAAGGAAATCTTGTAAATACAAACATATCACTGTACTTACTGGTGTTCTATCTGATAGTTCAAATGGCCAGTAAACCAGTCGTTGAAGTAACCAGGTTCCACGTTGCATGCTGCGGCCAGCTGCTGGCTGAACCAGTCTCGTTGTTGATCTTTGTCGATGTCCATAGGGATGTGGTTCATCTGAGTAACCCACACAAACCAGTGGCTCTCAAGAAATCTGAAAACAGGGGAGTATGGTACAGAATATTTTCAAAATAAAATTAATTTCTGAAAAATACTACCCACACCCACCATTCAATCACAAAAATCTGAAAATAAAGCACAACAGTATTTCAAAATGAAACCTGTTTCTGACCTTTAATTAACTCTCAACTAATTTAAAATTGTAATAGTGGTAATAGATTTTTTCTAGAAAAATATGCTTTACATCTGTTAAATAACAAACAAATGGCTTACTAGAAAGCTAAAAATATAATACACATATTATTATCAGTATATTGTGTGCAAAAAAAAAAAAGTTTCATTGGATCTGTAGAAAAGTGATGGAATCCACATTGGGGCCATTTAGAATAGATGATCCGAGTACTAACTGATCCGCCAACTAGATATGGCTGACCACACTCCAAAAGTGATGCTGCTGATTTCAGATGAACAAGCAGACTTGGGAATCACCAAGAAAAAGGGACAAAAAGAAAGATTCATACCTGACAAAGAAGTAGAGTCCCAGAGTTCCCCATCCTCCAAGGTAGGGGCCATACAGGTGGAACCAACGTGTGAAAAAGGTTAACATCCAGAACAGGTCCTAACAAATAAAACATATTAATGATTTAAATTTCCTTCTGTTATTTTTTTCATTATGTTATCATTATTTTTATTTAACTGGCATAGTTTGATTAGATTCTAATAATTTTTGTGGCCACAATTATTATTATTATTGTGGTTTCATCATTATATTCTTATGCATATTCTTAAAGTTTAAATTTAGGAATCAAATCTTGAAGACACTTTAAAGACATTTTGTGTTTCTTGTCACTATGGTTCGGCCTAACTCAGCTGTTCATCAATTTGTTTAAAGAGTCATTCATCAAAGTAAGTCAATCTCTTGACTTAAAACTCACCTCATTTAAATAGGAGAGGGAGGGGATAATGGAGGAATTAGATATCTACCCACTGTGAGCTGATCATAATCAGAGAGGTTGGACTGAGTTACGTTGATGCAACTTGACTGAAAACATGACTTATGTCAATCAGTTTTGATTGCGTCTTACTATAAACTGCCAAAGTAGTTAAAATGTTTGAGTTGATAAATATTGTCTCCTTGGCTTTAAACTCCTGGGTATGAATAATATGCAAAATGTTTTAGAAATCAGAAAAAAAAAATCAATTTAAAACTCGTATCGAATCTATAGTTCCTCTTCCTCTAACAATGATGTGGTAATTAATGGCCCCTGATTTACTTACCCACCACTCTTTGCGTTTAAACAAAAAATACAAATTCTCTATGTGAAAATACACTGGAAGCAGGGCTGGAGGTCCAACTGAAAACAAAAACAGAAGCAATCAGTTATTCAGCCCAATATAAGAAATTCCAATAAATCAGTCCGACTTTCCTGGAAAAATATCTATTTGGATTCAATTTGTCTAATTTGTCAAGTCAAACAATAGCATAACCATTCCATGAAAGTCTCATTATATAAAATGTCATTTGTGGGAACTTTAAGTCAAACTGGAAAATTAAAAGTCATTATTCACTGATAGAGATTAGATACTGATCAGATACAGTGCTTTATCTAAAACCTGGAAATTGATTTTTTTCCTGTGCTCAGTGGAACATTTAGTGAGTACTCCAAGAACAGATTAATGGTGTATAAAAGATATTGCTTACAAAGAAAGAAGTAATGATGCTGGAACTGGTACGGCATAAACCCCTTCTTCTTCTCGCCCCACCAGCTAGGCATTTTGTCCCCTAGTAAGAAGACATAAGGCAGGGTTATATCTGGGTCCTTCACATACACGTTGGGCTTTACATGGTGTTGAAAATGACGGAAGTTCCACCAGTGTGATGATGCGGCCTGAAAAATGTGTATGAGTTACTGATTACCACTTACTTTTAGAAGAAAATCATTGACTGTTAAGGGAAATGTAAATATGAACATCATGACTGAAACAACAATTCAACTTAGTCACATTATGATAGTGGTTACTACTCTATTATCTTATTTCATATTCATTTACTTACTGATTACTTCATTGTATGTTGTTAAATTTTATAGCTTCACTAGTTCTCTAATCAGCCTATAGGGGGAAGCACCTACATAAATGTCAAAAGACTGACTGACTTGGATGATTTGTTTTACCTTGATCCCTCCAATGACAACTTCATGCATCAGATGATTTAATTTTCTACTATTGAACACTGACAAATGGCCATAGTCATGCTGAGTCCAGCCAGCCTGCCCCTAGTAAAGAAAAAATTACAAAATATAAATAACAGTGCATGTACAGTACTAGAATATACACATGTGCCTGTGTTAGTAACTGCACATAGAAATTAGGTGATTCTACTGTAGTACATATCCATGACGGAAAACATTTTCTGGTTAGAATGCTTCATCTGAACAATGCTGGTTAAACAACTCCCTTACAACGTAAAAAATTTGCATTGAAATCAAAGGTGATTAATTTAAACAAATGTGTTCATCAGTGGCATTTAAGACACTCAATGACACATTAACTTGTTAACAATGGTATTAAAAACTTTCTTTAAATGAAAGAATAACCTATGAGTAAATAGAAATTTGAAAATGCAAACACAAATGATTGTTATTACATTAATGGATTGAACTGAAACAAGATTGAGATGTGATCAGCATAATTTCATAGAATCTGTTTTTGAAGTGCTAGTCAAATATGTATAGTATAAGTAGCATAAGAGTTATAAGAAAAAATTGAATCAAAAAATGCTTAAAATCCTTGATTAGTCAAGCATCTTCCATTAGACTAAGTACAATAATCAAATATCTGTTGAAAACATCACAAGGATAATGGGATGACCTTTGACCCCAATGACCTATGACCCCACAGGCAACAATAGTTACTTTGAATCTGAAATTGAGACTTTACTTTGAAAACTTTAACAATGGGTTTGAAACTTAACAAGGAAAAGAAATCAAGGAAACTATGAATATGACTCGATCTTTTCAATGAGAAACATTGCAAATTTTACAAATACTGTTTCTTTTTCTTTCTTTTTAAAACTAATTTTAAAACTTTTTAAAACTTTTTTTTAACTAATAACTTCTTAAAATAACAACATCCCTACTGAGTGGTAGCAACTAAATTGAAAAGCAGACTTTATATATAGTAAAAACACCAAAAATGCTATGCATTAATTTTAAGATTCCAAATTTATGTATCTAAAAGATTATTTTCCCATTGTCATTACTGTAAAGAATCTGAAACTGTGATGAATTATCAAGTAACATAAACAGACATTATTAAAATAAAACTAATGGCAATGTTAAAAAGATAACAATATTACCTACCCAGTACCCATCTGTTGTTTTAAAATCTTACATTATATTTTATTAAACTTATTATTTAGGACAAAACATATCAAACCTGAGAAATGAGTAAAAAAAAGGATGCTGCCAAGAAGGCTGTCCAGCTGGTTCCGTAATTGGCAATGATAAGGTACCCTATGACTTCACAGGCAATAATGGAGAAGAAGTGAGCCGCATAGAACCAAGGATTGACTTTGAATAGACCCATGTCCTCTGCTGCTTTCCTTAGAGATCTCATATCCTCTTCTATTTCACTCTGAAATGAAAAAAAATGATTTTGAAAATAAATAAATAAATAATTACAAAATCTATATTTCTTCTAACACTGAGTTTTGCCATTTTACCTTATATCATACAGTTAAAGATTAGCTTCTCTTACCACATTGCCTGGCTCTTTAACTTTCCCAACCAGAAGAGGTTTCATATATTTGGCTACCAATTCTTTGTCATTATGCAGTGCTGCCCAGGCTTCCTGTAACAGAACAAAATGCCATTCAATATTCAGTGATGTACAAAACAGAGCCCATATAACATAAAATAATAATGATTTTACAGGCTCTTATAGACTGTAGCTAGTTTAGGGATTAATATAAAATATTCAGAGTGTAGTCTCATGAAGCATCTAAAGTAACGGCAATAACTAGTATAATAACTTAAAGCACTCTCCTGTCAAAAGACAATAGGTCGTGCCGTGCTTTATTTCGTGTAAAGTCACATCATCCACGAATGCGTTCTACGCACCAGTGCACAGGGTTAATTACTCGTGCTTTAAGCCAGATAAAGCACTCGGCGCTGAGCTTTACGCGAAACAGAGCAGATAATTGTCTCAGGTTCGTCTCGCCAATTATCTGCTCTATTTCGCGTAAAGCTCAGCGCCTCGTACATTATCTATACCATAGTATAACCATTAAAACACAGTGTGGTTACACAGTGCTGTCTAACAAGGTAAAAAAATATATATTGAGGGCATTCAGAACAAGCTGATCTGCGGACTAAGAGACCATTCCCACAGATATTTAGATCGATCTATCCCCCACTAGATTGCTGTCAGCTTAATCGGCTTAAATGTCTGCTCCGCCTACTAAAAGCTGTAAGGGGGTAATTAACTTCCATGCGCTCTCGACTGACAGCAATTTAGGATGAACCCCCAGGGAGTTAAGTCGATCCAGATGGATCGATCCAAATCTGTGGGAATGCAGTCTAAGTATCGTTGCTTCACATAAAAGCAGGGGGAGGGACACAGAATGTGTTAGCTAAGTATACTGCTTAATGTATAAATTAAGGGCTTAAATCCCTGTATGAGATAATACATTCCACCAAACCTTGGCCACATGAGTCATCATCTCAAATTGCAACACAACATTTTCTGAATGATTAATATACATTTTATTTAGCACATTATCTGTACAGTTTACACATTGGTAAATAAATATAGCATTGTTCTCTCTATCTTACAGATATCTGTAATCATTCAAAGTGATGCTGATAGGAACCAAGTTGCAATATTAAAATTTAACTCTTGAGTACTGCGTACGTATGCACATGCACATACTGTGATGTGCAGGAGCACGAAAGGTTTTTAAATATTTGATACAAAATGCAACCTAAGTTTCAGAGCTACTCAAACCTGTAACATCCATTATCAGATTGTCTTGGCTGTCTTTCGTTATTACAAAAGCTGATAAAATAGATTTGTTTCCAGTGACCTTTGAAATTCAGGTTGACAATATGCAGCACCATTGAATTCTTAACTCTCTTACACATCTTAAGGTAACACCAAGGCTTAGTAATACCATATCACTGTAAATATAATATTTGGGTATAGAATAACAATTTCTGTTTGGAAGAAGAACAGAAAATACATATAATCAGTATTCAGGCCATATACTGACCAAATAAACAATGCTAATAATAAGAAGTGCCTTGACAGCTTGACTCATTCCTCCATCAAACTTACTTGCCAAACATGACCTTTTCTTTCTTTTAACTATAATTTTTAACTGCCTTTCAATGCTCAAATTGGCAAGTACGTATGTGTAGCAAATAAATTCTTGGTTGTACTAAATGGAGGGACTGCATATTAAACAACAGACAGTTAATAAAGTACTCCGTAGTCAAGATTGCTATCTTGTTTACTGATGTGCTTAAATCACTGTTTATTCTGGGATAAATCCCACTCAAACATACATAACTCAAATATCAGTTCTGTAATCTGCACACATATATATACCTAGCAATCATTTAACACAATCAAACTTTACTGACAAATTACTTCTATTATTCATGTAAAATGGTATGTGGTTAATACTGGTTCACTGCTATAGAGAGAAATCAAATTACTGTCACAAAATTATTGTTGGGCAGATTTGTTTGTAGTTCAGTTCCATTCGGTTATTGATTTTCAAAAAAAAAAAAAAATGATTGAGTAATTTTGCAATAATATACTAGCTAGCTAGTACATGTGTGTGTGTGTGTGTGTGTGTGTNGCTTAATTCGTTGAGAATGCGCTCTATGACCCCACAGGCAACAATAGTTACTTTGAATCTGAAATTGAGACTTTGAAAACTTTAACAATGGGTTTGAAACTTAACAAGGAAAAGAAATCAAGGAAACTATGAATATGACTCAATCTTTTCAATGAGAAACATTGCAAATTTTACAAATACTGTTTCTTTTTCTTTCTTTCTTTTTTTTTAACTAATAAATTCTTAAAATAACAACATCCCTACTGAGTGGTAGCAACTAAATTGAAAAGCAGACTTTATATATAGTAAAAACACCAAAAATGCTATGCATTAATTTTAAGATTCCAAATTTATGTATCTAAAAGATTAATTATTTTCCCATTGTAAAGATCAAGTCATTACTGTAAAGAATCTGAAACTGTGATGAATTATCAAGTAACATAAACAGACATTATTAAAATAAAACAAAAAATAAATGGCAATGTTAAAAAGATAACAATATTACCTACCCAGTACCCATCTGTTGTTTTAAAATCTTACATTATATTTTATTAAACTTATTATTTAGGACAAAACATATCAAACCTGAGAAATGAGTAAAAAAAAGGATGCTGCCAAGAAGGCTGTCCAGCTGGTTCCGTAATTGGCAATGATAAGGTACCCTATGACTTCACAGGCAATAATGGAGAAGAAGTGAGCCACATAGAACCAAGGATTGACTTTGAATAGACCCATGTCCTCTGCTGCTTTCCTTAGAGATCTCATATCCTCTTCTATTTCACTCTGAAATGAAAAAAAATGATTTTGAAAATAAATACATAAATAATTACAAAATCTATATTTCTTCTAACACTGAGTTTTGCCATTTTACCTTAAATCATACAGTCAAAGATTAGCTTCTCTTACTACATTGCCTGGCTCTTTAACTTTCCCAACCAGAAGAGGTTTCATATATTTGGCTACCAATTCTTTGTCATTATGCAGTGCTGCCCAGGCTTCCTGTAACAGAACAAAATGACATTCAATATTAAGTGATGTACAAAACAGAGCCCATATAACATAAAATAATAATGATTTTACAGGCTCTTATAGACTGTAGCTAGTTTAGGGATTAATATAAAATATTCAGAGTGTAGTCTCATGAAGCATCTAAAGTAACAGCAATAACTAGTATAATAACATAGTATAACCATTAAAACACAGTGTGGTTACACAGTGCTGACTAACAAGGTAAAAAAGTATAATGAGGGCACTCAGAACAAGTTGATCTGCGGACTAATAGATCCACGGACTAAGAGACCATTCCCATAGATATATTTAGATCGATCTATCCCCCTGGGGAGTCTCACTAGATTGCTGTCAGCTTAATCGGCTTAAATGTCTGCCTCGCCTACTAAAAGCTGTAAGGGGGTAATTAACTTCCATGCGCTCTCGACTGACAGCAATTTAGGATGAACCCTCAGGGAGTTAGGTCGATCCAGATGGATCGATCCAAATCTGTGGGAATGCAGTCTAAGTATCGTTGCTACACATAAAAGCAGGGGGGACACAGAATGTGTTAGCTAAGTATACTGCTTAATGTATAAATTAAGGGCTTAAATCACTGTATGAGATAATACATTCTACCAAACATGGGCCACATGAGTCATCATCTCAAATTGCAACAGAACATTTTCTGAATGATTAATGTACATTTTATTTAGCATATTATCTGTACAGTTTACATACTGGTAAACAAATGTAGCATTGTTCTCTCTATCTTACAGATATCTGTAATCATCCAAAGTGATGCTGATAGGGACCAAGTTGGAATATTAAATTTTAACTCTTGAGTACTGCGTACGTATGCACATGCACACACTGTGATGTGCAGGAGCACGAGAGGTTTTTAAATATTTGATACAAAATGCAACCTAAGTTTCAGAGGCTACTAAAACCTATAACATCCATTATCAGATTGTCTTTGCTGTCTTTCGTTATTACACAAGCTGATAAAATAGATTTGTTTCCAGTGACCTTTGAAATTCAGGGCCCAGTTTTATAAAGGACGTTTAGCACTAACCAGTGTTTAACTCTAACTAGGCCTTAACAGTCTGTTAGTTAACTGACCTTTAAATAATTATTTAATCCAGTTAAACACTGGCCAGTTAACTAATTGGTTGTTTTCCGTCAGAAGACTATATATGAAACACAATTTAACCATCTTTTAGTTAATGGGTGTTAGGAGAATTTATCCACTGGTTAGGCTTATCCACTGGTTAGTGCTAAACATCCTTTATAAAACTGGGCCCAGGTTGACAATATGCAGCACCATTCTTAACTCTCTTACACATCTTAAGGTAACACCAAGGCTTAGTAATATCATATCACTGTAAATATAATATTTGGGTGTAGAATAACAATCTCTATTTGGAAGAAGAACAGAAAATACATATAATCAGTATTCAGGCCATATACTGACCGAATAAACAATGCTAATAATAAGAAGTGCCTTGACAGCTTGACTCATTCCTCCATCAAACTCACTTGCCAAACATGACCTTTTCTTTCTTTTAACTATAATTTAAAACTGCCTTTCAATGCTCAAATTAACAAGTATGTATGTGTAGCAAATAAAATCTTGGTTGTACTAAATGGAGGGACTGCATATTAAACAACAGACAGTTAATAAAGTACTCCGTAGTCAAGATTGCTATCTTGTTTACTGATGTGCTTAAATCACTGTTTATTCTGGGATAAATCCCACTCAAACATACATAACTCAAATATCAGTTCTGTAATCTGCACACATATATATACCTAGCAATCATTTAACACAATCAAACTTTACTGACAAATTGCTTCTATTATTCATGTAAAATGGTATGTGGTTAATACTGGTTCACTGCTATAGAGAGAAATCAAATTACTGTCACAAAATTATTGTTGGGCAGATTTGTTTGTAGTTCAGTTCCATTCGGTTATTGATTTTCAAAAAAAAAAATGATTGAGTAATTTTGCAATAATATACTAGCTAGCTAGTACATGTGTGTGTGTGTGTGTGTGTGTATGTGTGTGTGTGTGTGTGTGTGTNAACAGAACAAAATGCCATTCAATATTCAGTGATGTACAAAACAGAGCCCATATAACATAAAATAATAATGATTTTACAGGCTCTTATAGACTGTAGCTAGTTTAGGGATTAATATAAAATATTCAGAGTGTAGTCTCATGAAGCATCTAAAGTAACGGCAATAACTAGTATAATAACTTAAAGCACTCTCCTGTCAAAAGACAATAGGTCGTGCCGTGCTTTATTTCGTGTAAAGTCACATCATCCACGAATGCGTTCTACGCACCAGTGCACAGGGTTAATTACTCGTGCTTTAAGCCAGATAAAGCACTCGGCGCTGAGCTTTACGCGAAACAGAGCAGATAATTGTCTCAGGTTCGTCTCGCCAATTATCTGCTCTATTTCGCGTAAAGCTCAGCGCCTCGTACATTATCTATACCATAGTATAACCATTAAAACACAGTGTGGTTACACAGTGCTGTCTAACAAGGTAAAAAAATATATATTGAGGGCATTCAGAACAAGCTGATCTGCGGACTAAGAGACCATTCCCACAGATATTTAGATCGATCTATCCCCCACTAGATTGCTGTCAGCTTAATCGGCTTAAATGTCTGCTCCGCCTACTAAAAGCTGTAAGGGGGTAATTAACTTCCATGCGCTCTCGACTGACAGCAATTTAGGATGAACCCCCAGGGAGTTAAGTCGATCCAGATGGATCGATCCAAATCTGTGGGAATGCAGTCTAAGTATCGTTGCTTCACATAAAAGCAGGGGGAGGGACACAGAATGTGTTAGCTAAGTATACTGCTTAATGTATAAATTAAGGGCTTAAATCCCTGTATGAGATAATACATTCCACCAAACCTTGGCCACATGAGTCATCATCTCAAATTGCAACACAACATTTTCTGAATGATTAATATACATTTTATTTAGCACATTATCTGTACAGTTTACACATTGGTAAATAAATATAGCATTGTTCTCTCTATCTTACAGATATCTGTAATCATTCAAAGTGATGCTGATAGGAACCAAGTTGCAATATTAAAATTTAACTCTTGAGTACTGCGTACGTATGCACATGCACATACTGTGATGTGCAGGAGCACGAAAGGTTTTTAAATATTTGATACAAAATGCAACCTAAGTTTCAGAGCTACTCAAACCTGTAACATCCATTATCAGATTGTCTTGGCTGTCTTTCGTTATTACAAAAGCTGATAAAATAGATTTGTTTCCAGTGACCTTTGAAATTCAGGTTGACAATATGCAGCACCATTGAATTCTTAACTCTCTTACACATCTTAAGGTAACACCAAGGCTTAGTAATACCATATCACTGTAAATATAATATTTGGGTATAGAATAACAATTTCTGTTTGGAAGAAGAACAGAAAATACATATAATCAGTATTCAGGCCATATACTGACCAAATAAACAATGCTAATAATAAGAAGTGCCTTGACAGCTTGACTCATTCCTCCATCAAACTTACTTGCCAAACATGACCTTTTCTTTCTTTTAACTATAATTTTTAACTGCCTTTCAATGCTCAAATTGGCAAGTACGTATGTGTAGCAAATAAATTCTTGGTTGTACTAAATGGAGGGACTGCATATTAAACAACAGACAGTTAATAAAGTACTCCGTAGTCAAGATTGCTATCTTGTTTACTGATGTGCTTAAATCACTGTTTATTCTGGGATAAATCCCACTCAAACATACATAACTCAAATATCAGTTCTGTAATCTGCACACATATATATACCTAGCAATCATTTAACACAATCAAACTTTACTGACAAATTACTTCTATTATTCATGTAAAATGGTATGTGGTTAATACTGGTTCACTGCTATAGAGAGAAATCAAATTACTGTCACAAAATTATTGTTGGGCAGATTTGTTTGTAGTTCAGTTCCATTCGGTTATTGATTTTCAAAAAAAAAAAAAAATGATTGAGTAATTTTGCAATAATATACTAGCTAGCTAGTACATGTGTGTGTGTGTGTGTGTGTGTGTGTGTGTGTGTGTGTGTGTGTGTTTTGGTAAAAACTATTTCACAAATAATAATAATAATAATAATAATAATAATAATAATAATAATAATAATAATAATAAAATTTAAAAAAAGACAGTACCAGAACATACTAATTGTGGCAATTCATATTAATAACTTTTTTCAATGATGTGACATATCTTTGCCCACATTTTTCATGTCACCAAAGCCGCATGTGCTATATTCCTACATATTCTATCATATAGCTTGCCAAACAATACTTATATTGTATCTTAATATGGCCTAATAGTCGGTATAATAGTGATTTGGTCATTGTGCAGGTCTTAAGCTGTAGCTAGGGTAAACATTTAGGTGAAGGTCAATAAATAAGCCCACCCTTATATAAACCTTAATATGAAGCTCGTATGCCTGTTAAGTTAGGAAATCGGTTTCATATTTCAACAGAAGGATGTCAAATGATATTGAACTTTTGCAAAGATAGCTTTGACTAAGTTTCTTTACCGTCGCATCCTGCCCTGCAAAGTGGCCCATCACTTTCGCTCCTCCCGGATGCTTCTTGCTCCAGTTCGTTATATCATAAACCAGGCCGTCTATAACCAGCCACCGGTCGACCAGACTTGTATGTCCTCGTATCTCATCCCATGTATATTCTGTTAATTCAGAATTTGCGTTTCTGTTACCACCTTTGCCCATATTTGTTGAAAGATCAGCTACACTGCAGCTAGAGATTCAAGACATACCTCGTCTTTAAAATGCCTACAGGTGGCGACACCGAAAGTAACGTTCCAAGAAGCGTCGCATTCGTATAGATAATTTGCCTTCGTAATGCATTGTTCTCTGTTTGGGCTTGGAGATATTGACAGAAAACCACATAATTAATTCGTTGAATCATATAACATCATTTTACTGTATTTTTCATCTTTTTCTGGAATAAAGTATTTTTGAAGACTGACAGCTTACGTTATGGGTCGTTGGCCTATAGCATCGAGTTTAAAAAAAAAAAATTGTAATACGTAGCTAAATTGATCAAATTAATCAGCAATCCCGTAGCCAGGTGGAAACATTGATTTTTGTCAAGGTATAATAAAGTTTTTTAAAAAATGTCTACTAAACATATTACGTTATTTCAATTTTTATTTGTAGCAAAGTTAATTTCTTTAAATTTCAGTTAATCTGGCGATTCAAAGAAAGTAGGCCTAAAATGCGCACTTGCTTTCACTGACTGTGTGACTCATAAATTTGTTACAATAGCCCTATCATTACACAGATAATTTACAGAGGTAGGGAAGAAAAAAAGAGGTCATTGTTAATAACAAAAGTGGATTAAATTGTCTCATTCTTTAAATCTGCCATAGTTCAAAATGAAAAGTTAGTCATGTTAATAGGCTTTTCATTTCAGTAACAGTGAAACTTCATGCGTACATCTACTGGTATGAATTTTAGACCGCAAATGACAGTGTTGTAGAAAACAACGCAAAAATATCAGGGTTTTGAACTAAAGACCCGTACTCACGAATAGATGATAAATTAAATAGCCCAAGCTCTAAAATAAGCCATAGGATCTTCATGCTATTAATAAGAAACAAAAAGGTCCAACATGAGGTTTTGTCTTAAGAATGATCCCTGTGTTATCGTTTATTGCTAAATTCAAAACCATTTAGAATAAGTGTGCTTTTGCTGAGAGAGATCTGAAAGAAGTCTAAGTTGAAATATAATTCTTATATTGTGGCATTTTAAACTGGTTCACAACGTTAAACGGGTATCACGTCACCGGGCGGAATGCGTGTATTTACTTGTTCTAGTCACAGTACTCGCCCAAGTGAAAAATGTAAATAAATACTCTGCAAACAGGGGGCGTTGTCTATGGCAGTGCCGTGTAGCACTTACACGGGTGAATGACCCTCTAACTCACATAATTGTGACACTGCTGCATTAAGTTAGAAGTTTGTTAAATAATATCTTGGTTGTGCGTCTGCTGAGGTCGAAGACGCACTGGCGTACAAAAAGCTTAGCGTTTCAGCAGAGTGTTTTGAAAACACATATGAGGATAATGTTTAATCTCAGCCCGTGATGATGACGATGTTGTGTTTTACCATGTTTTANCTCTAGTCACAGTACTCGCTCAAGTGAAAAATGTAAATAAATACTCTGCAAACAGGGGGCGTTGTCTATGGCAGTGCCGTGTAGCACTTACACGGGTGAATGACCCTCTAACTCACATAATTGTGACACTGCTGCATTAAGTTAGAAGTTTGTTAAATAATATCTTGGTTGTGCGTCTGCTGAGGTCGAAGACGCACTGGCGTACAAAAAGCTTAGCGTTTCAGCAGAGTGTTTTGAAAACACATATGAGGATAATGTTTAATCTCAGCCCGTGATGATGACGATGTTGTGTTTTACCATGTTTTACTGCTGTAGTAATATGAACACCCTACAGCTGCAATACCATACCGCCCCTAATGAACTAAAACATTGACATGAGGGACTGGAAAGCGCAATCGTCAGCAGTGTGCGTAGGCCTACATGAACACAACGCGTGGATATGCACGCACCCTGAATTTTAACACCTCGGTCATTGTGTTACATTTACCTTAGACGAATAATTAGACGTTCGTTTTATTCTCCTAAGTATTTACTGATAACATTGATAATGCTGGTACCTTGGAATTGGATTGTGCTTTATGGTGCCTACATAAAAACGTAAATTGACCAAATTGCAGTCATCTCCACCACCGCTAATATTGTGAACAACATATGTAAAAGCGTAGAGTTTTTATTAGCCTATCTATTCCCTCGACATACATGTATTTTGGCATATTTGTGATCAAACCTAACGCTAACAAGGGCGATAAACGAATAAATAAACCACATGAAAACCGCCCGGGAATCTCAACCGAAGGAGGGGGAGCAGAAGGTTTGCGTAGGCCTATATTTGTCGCGATCGTGCATGTGCTTTGGTACATACATAGTACGTGTCTTTTTAAAGTTCTGAATGTGCGCACGTGTTTTATTTAGGATGGATGTATATGTGTGCTTATGGGTATGCTTTTTTTATTAGATATTCACAAATAAACTGCGCATTTTCTGTGGTGTGACCAGCCAGAAATTTTGCACATAATTCACGTCATCATTCAGCTTGAGTCTGGTAGAGAGTACTTTTAGTGTGTGTGTGTGTGTGTGTGTGTGTGTGTGCGCCTGCGCGCGCGCGCGCGTGTTGTGTATATGAGTGCATGTTTGGGCGGGGGGATAAATCAGGGTTGGGTGGTCTTCGTTATTCATGTATCCGTATGAACTGCCACTGCAACCAACAAATATTAAGCAAGAAAGATGAAAATTGTATAAATATATTTTTTAAATCGATATATTGAACTACAAAACATTTCTAGAGTAACACGGGAGGGTAAAGGGGAAAGATAGGAACAGAAAAGGCTTAAGAGGAGAAAACTGTAGTGAGACAAAAAATAATATTACGTGAAACGATGCAAGAAAGACGCCAAAGATGAAAATGAGAAAGAAAGAGGCAAAAGTAACATAGAAAGCGTCGGGAGAAAAATACAAAACAAAAATTGTATGTTACAAGGAAGAAGGTAAAGGTGGTTGATTTACAAAATTGCAATTACGATGAGTAAGGGAAATTCCCTCCTCCAGAAGGAATTCTTTCGAATTTTGCATTAATTGCATAATATTACCAGTAAATTACAAATTTGCTGATTTTTGTATGAAATATTAAGACGGGTAATTCGGGGGGGGGGGGGGGCATTTTAATGCATTCTTTTTTCTCTTTTCTAGTTTTAAGTGAGACAAATTTAATGTGTAAATGACTGAATAATTTAAGGAAGTTAAGCAGCAAAAGAGGAAGTATTGCCAAGGAATTTAATACCAGTTCTGCAAAATAAGACCGGAAATAATCGAAAACAGTGGCATTTTACGTCAGCAGACGAGGAGCACAAATACAACAACGTGTGTCGGGATATCTACAGCAACATATGTACCATCGCCCTGGTGAGCTGCCGGTCGCTATATAATCACTGTTTTTATGTGTCACAAAGTAGAATATCAGATTTTACTCACAAACGATATACAAGATACAGCCAAATATGGGATGAAATATATAATAACCATCTCTGGTGCTGAGCGAGAACTGTTCGTGATTGTTGTGCTTTCAGGTAGATCTTTAAACAAAATGGTTTGAAACAAGTCATCAAACGACCATATCAATAGAACAGTGACGAGAGAGAGAGAGAGAGAGAGAGAGAGAGAATAATAATGAACGATTAGTTTTACCAACATCCTACCTTGGACCACGGACAGAACTATGTTCTATATTGGGTATATACTTTTCGAGGTTAAAGGGAACATTTCCATTCAGAAAGGCGTTTTTTTTTTTTTTTTTTTTTTAGTTTATGACGTGTGTTTTAAAATTGATTGATGCACCATCGACCCCGTGGTGTCGCGTGTAAAAAAGATATGTTCTTGACAAGCTGTTATTATTATTATTATTATTATTATTATTATTATTATTATTATTATTAAATGAAGCTTATTACGGTGTTAATTTCTCCTCAGTGTCAAAGCAAGACGTGTGATTTAAGTCCCTTTATGCTATGGAAGTTAATTCGAGGCAGACATTATATAATATCATTCTATGTTTTTTACGCTTCAAACGCTAACTTGCAGGTGCCTGTATGGAAATCATATCGTTGTCTGTCATTATGTAGAACAGATATTTACACGTATCTCACAGCCACCCGTGAAGCAAATACCGGTCCTCGGATATCACAACAAATCAATTCTAGAGTAAGCTGTTCAAGCCCAACGACTTCTCGTGTCCCATAGCGCATGCCAATGTCAGCACAAAGAGTGACCGTCGCAGATGCAAGGACTTAGGCATTTGCAATCTGGTACATGATTGTACAGTCAAATCACAGCGGTCGCTTTACTTTGCCCCCTCATACATGGACTGTTATCGTGAAAGATCCACGAATTAATTTTCATATATCTGGACGTTTTAGTGATATTATACACTGATTATAAAGTCATTCCTAAGGCTGTCCTCGCATCGAGCTTAGTGCCTTAAGACAGCTGTCATTTTTAATACAATATGCCATTATGCATGTCTGTATCGTTATGGCACTTGTTCCCTGCTTGTTCCAGTGGTGTGCGTGTCTGTATGTGCGTGGCTGTGTGTCTGTGTGTGTGTCTGTGTGTGTGTGTGTGTGTGTGTGTGTGTGTAAACCATGACAGTACGTTAAACCATGTTTTAATTCCAACCTTGATTTTAAACTGCACAGCAACTATAGGCTGTAGGTTATACAGCCGTGTGTGGGGTTAACGTTCGGCGAGGTCGATGTTTTCTCTCAGCCCGGCCTACTGACTGTCCCTTTCCTGACCCTGGTCGTGGATTCTTCTCATCTCAGTGCTGGTGACTCCAGGTGTCTAGTCTCCATTAAACCTAGGTGAGACCACATGCGCTGAGATTCTCCTTATATCTAATTAATTATACCCTCTGACAACATATCCTACTAAATAAGGTGAGTATTGAGTCAAGGGAAGGCTCAGGACGTGTTGTGTGAGCTTGTCGGGGCAATACTATATTAATGCAGCTGAAACAAGTAAGAAATCGGCAGATTCAAAAGCCGATTGTACGGCCATGTTCGATAAAATCAATCCCCTTCGCATTTGCCTAATTTTCCCCTTGCACCAAGAGGAATCTTACCGATACATTGCTTAGCGCGGCCTATGTCACCTATCAATTGTTGTTTTGTTTTGTTTAGATGGATGTTTACTCTCTGTGACATTCAACAAGCAGGTATCAACGCCACTCTTTCACCCCCTTTCAAAATGAAAAGGACCCAATTATTTGATAAGATTAACGCTGTTCCCGTAACCCCCCTCTCTCAATTATTACCGTACGGTTCACTAAGATAGGCATAATGTTTTGACAAGGTCAAAATTAATTTAAAATGGTAGTTCTTCTCAATAATCACACAGTTTTTGGAAACACAGACGTGTAGACGACAAGAATAGAGGGAAGCTATACCGAGTTTTTTCTGGGGAGGGTGAATGGAACAGCCAATTCTTCGGCAGCCTGCACGCTTCCGATAGGAACTCCTGGAAAGGCTTCAGATATTTGGATAATTATCTTACTTTGTTATTTGTTTCGCTCTTGATTTCGGCAGGTGAGTGGAGTAGAAGGGGTATACTAAATACTGATGTGGACATCGGGGCAAAATAAAGGGAAGATAGCGAGAAAATGAAAGATGATCCAAGCCGGTGTCATCGCGTCACTCAATCGCGATTAAATACCCCAAGCACGCAGGTTAACACATGGTGATTATAAACCATAGCGGTCTTATTACCGTGAAAAAGATTTGACCCAAGTACCACTATTATGTTTTTCTCGTAGTATTGGGGTATTTATTGTAAAAGGGAAGGGGGGTTCTGTCACAGGCCTATTCTTGGATGAAAAGCTCCACCGATGTGGAAGCTGAAGCGGCAGAGTACAAGTCTTGTGATTGATGACACGACGTTCTGCATTGCATTTCCTTCGTGTAGCTTCTCGCTTTCTTCAGGAGCCGGGATGTCCGTCGAAAGAGCTGCTAGCACCTCTATGGCCACCTCTGCGACCGCATCGACCACCAACGGCTCGAGGAGCCGAAATAGTGGCCGAGGAAGCCGTGCCGCGAGGGAAGACTCGGAGTCCCCCTCTCCCTCTCCGACGCCAGTCAACAAACCCTCCTCATCTCCTAGCCCTGCTAAGAATGGGAAGACAATGAGCACTAGTTTGAAAAGGTATAAACTTAAAATCGTTTGATCATTAGGGAAGGGTGCTACTTCGACCCTCACGTTTTTCATAAGCGTTGAACAATTTGAAAAGAAAGTTCATTGTAGTGGCTATTGAAATGTGTTTACTGGGCGTATGGTACGGGAGTCTAGACGCGCTATTGTAATGTTAGCCGACTAGCTCATTTGCATATAAGCTTCCAGTGGTCATTGTTCTTAAACCGGCGGTCATCGCTGAATAAGCATAGTGTGGTTAGAATCTTTTCGACTTCTTCTTTCGTTTAATACCGAGTTTGTCTAGGTTGCCTCATCAATTTGGAAAAAATAGCTAATTTGTCGATCTGGCCGTAAGGTCAAGCAAGGCCTCGCCATGTTGGTTCTTAGAGGCTAGGCACGCTTAATTTATTGATGTCTTTGTTTTGATATCAAACAATGTTGTTGTTAATTAACTTTTTAATCTCTGTGTTTCTGATTTTAGGATCCAAAAGGAACTTGCCGAAATCACTCTGGATCCCCCGCCGAACTGCAGGTAAGGGCTTTTTTCTTCTAATTCAATATTTACCAGTGATACTTCGTTAGTTTGGATAAAAACACCCAGAGAGATTCTAGTGCATTTTAATAGTATCAAAGACAGCATTAAAGGAAATGTGATTTCAAAGATTTATACATGGTGGATCAAAGTGACACTTAAATAGTGTTTAATGTTATTTTGATATTAGGTTTTACCTGCTTGTGTGCACAGGTAGAAGGCTTGCGTCTTGTTAAAATTAATTATCCCTCCTTGACTGTTGTTGATATCTGTTTTACATGAAATTCAAGAGGATTGTGTTATGACTCTAGCCGAGGGTAAACCACGGTTTAGACCACAATTTCTCTCAGCTGTCTTTCTTTGTACATTATGCCATTGTTTTAGAGCCTACGTTGCTGATGGTTATCTGTATCAATTAAAAACTCCTGTCGTGTATTTATGAAGCAGCGAGAAGGAACAAGAATACTAAATAGCTCACATGCAAGTGGAAGTAGACTCAAGTCATGAATTATTTTTGTGAAAAAATAAGGAACTTGTTCTAGGATTTTCCATACATGTTACATGAACTTGAGCAAATATGTGCACAGATCACTTGGTATTTGTATAGGATTGTAGATGCATGGTATACAGAAAAAGACCAAAATTGTGACATAAATCAGATGAATACATTCAGATAGAGACTTCGTTAAGATCCTGCTTTTCATTGTCAATGATATGTGGTAAACCAATTTTGGTTCTAAAATAGTCTTATTGAGAATGCAGATTTGTATTCTGATATGCATTGATATTCTCCAATCTGGTGTTGCTCAAGCATTGTTGCTACATTAATTACATGTTGTAAATACTGCTTATATTATGAAAATTACACGGTCACTTTTAAAACACCAAATATATGACCTGAAACTAAATGTGCAAAATTTCTTCATCATCTATTTTACTTATCTTATGATAAATAAGATGGAGACCATGATTCAGGGAAAAATTTTAATTTTTTTAAGGATTTTGTGTTTTGGGAGTAATTAACAAACCTGCCATCACTTTTACAGGGGGTAGTCACTATCTGTAACATGTGGCTCTGTTTTTCTGTAAAATATATTAAAAAAAAAAACATTATGTCTTGTAAACATATGTGGAAAAGATAACAGTTTTCATCAATTAGGATAGCCACACAAGTTATGTCTCAAGTCACATAACCATTTAGAAAAGATGAGTTCCTTCTGCTTGGCCACGCATCCAGGGGAAACATTCAGCCTTAGCGCAGCCTGGTGTTAGCATCTTAAATAGCTAAGTTGATGATTTAAATTTTGTGAAAGAAAACCTGCTCAGCCTTCATATTTATATTGGTCATTAGGAAAGAAAGGGTGCTACTTCGACCTTCATGTTCTTCATTAGCTGTTTCTTCATGGTCTTGCAATTAAAGACATGCAGTTCTGTTCATTTGGAGTGTATGCTGCAGAGACATATTCCTTTAAATGGTGTTTACATTGAATGGCTAAACAGGATATAATGTCAGTCGAACTGTGGATATGCCAGACTGTCAGTGCTTTTAATATGACTTACTATTATTTGTTGTTGAAAATGACATGTAACTGGCAAAAAGCCACTTGGATTACATATCAGTTCAGCTGTATCATTATTTCCTAGCCTAGAGTCTGCACTCAGAACCCCCAGATTGATTCCATTTTGATTATGTCATATTGATAACATAAGTAAGAGCAAATGGCAGATTATGTTGGGAGAGATAAAGTATTGAGAAGAATACTTTTTTAACTTGAGTTACTTAGACACAGGACTGATGAATACACAGTAATGGAATCTATTATCATACAGTTGATTTAAGCTGATTTACTTCAAGCCTCTCTCAGACCATAAGTCTGACTAAGGGACCATTCCCAGACCCTGTCGTACTAACTGTGGATCGATCTATCTCCGAGGGGATTCTTGTTAAATTTGCAATCAACTTAAACTGCTTTCATGTCTGTCTATACTGAAGTTGCTAATAAATAATTAATTACCCCCTAGGAGCTTCAGTAGGCATGACAGACATCTAAGTCACTTATGCTGAAAGCAATTGGCGAGAAACCCCTCAGAGATGGATCGATCCATGTATGGGAACCCAGTCTAAGTTGAGTCATGGTTGACCATATTACAGTTAACCCTTGTTTCTGAGCAGACAAGCTCTTTAATTATACATTTTGGGCCCCTTTTCTGTTCAGAAGTAGCCCTGGTGTGAACACGGTTGCAGAAGGATAAATTTCTGCTATAATATTTAGCTATGGTGTATAGCAAATATTATAAAGAAATAAAACAAAATAGAATAGAATTTGTATTGTAACCAAATACACCGTCAAAGCAGTGATTATGGGTCATTGGAACCAGAAAAATGTTACATAACTTGAAAGAAGTTTCATTTAATACGGTCAATCTACCTGTATTTTGATTATACATCTTGTTATAAAGGTTAAGCATTAAACCTTGTAATGTGAAGGATAACTTTGACATGCTAGAAAGATTTAGTTATTATTCCATAAAGCAGAGGGCTCTAGCTGACAATGTCACTTTGTAGTTACCCTTTGCTGTCACATTAGAGGGATTACTGAATGTGACCTTGCAATCAAGTTTCAATTTCTTGGAAGCTAAAACTAGACCAATTTTTGTCATAACTTTGTTATTACATAATAGATAACTATTTTTTCTCATCACAAGGATTTCTCTCTCTCTCTCACTTTCTCTCTCTCTCTTTCTCTCTCTCTCTCTCATCTCAGTTAGATGTGTTAAAATCTTCAGAATCTTTTGAGAGACCCATTTATATCTCAGCCACAGAGAAGAACAGGCAGATATAGTTTGCAAGACTACCACCAAGTGCCTTCTGAATTTCCACTAAGTACCTATTAGGCTTACTAAAATATTGACCCAAATTTGTAAACATACATCAAGACAGATATATATCGCTTTTACTGATGTAACACATAACATTTGTCCACAATTTAAGTCGGTGCACGGCAGTCTGTTACTTTCTCAGCCATAAGGTCATTTTAATTTTAAAATAAGAATTAGTGTCATTCTGGCTTGTGGCATAATATACACGTGCTTGTTTACACGCACATGCATGCATGTACGTACACACGCATACACACACACACACACCTAGTGAGAGAGAGAAAGAGAGATTTATATAAACCTTGCTTTGTTTATTTTGTGCTAACAAAAAATGTACAAAAGCATTTCATTAAGCCACAAATGCTTTTATTGTATATGAACAGAGATAAGACTCCATTCACAAATCTAGACAATATCTTTCTGTTTGAAATTTAGAAGTTTACTTAGTCATATGATATGATAACGTAGACATTAAGAAAGAGTTGGGTTATTTAAATCACGAGAGATACTTTTGACCTCGTTCATACCAGGTCTAAATTGAATCATTTTCTATTTTTATTTCTAGATTCTCTCACTGCAACTGCAGTCATATTCTTTTCAGTTTTAACATAAACATTTAAGGCCTTACTTAGGCCTTATTGCCATAGACAGCATCCGTATACGTAGATCAATCAAACTCTGCAGGGACTCTCGCTGAATGCAATCATTTAAACATATTGACTCATCTCTTGGCATTAAGTAGAATACAGAAAAGCTGGTGATTATAGGAGCACATTGGAAATAAGAGGAGGCCTGTTTGACCAAATGAAATTAAGAAAAAAAAATGATCCAGGATACACATAATGTTGCATTTTGATTGAATAGAAAAATTGAGGTCGACACTGCCTGTAAGGGGAATTATTGAAAATGCTATGAAAATCAGTTTAAATTGAGTACTTTGTGCCTCCAGTTTGCCCCCTAGGCCTTAAAGGGTAATGTCACATGGAGTTGCAGGTGTTCTTTCCAGTCATGGCTTTTTAGCATTGTAAATAAAGGACATTTGTATAAGCAGCCTGACAACTGTGGCATATGTATACCCTTTATGAGGGGTTTGCCAGTGGGTTATGCAGTGCCTTTAAGATACACAATAAGTATAAAGCTGTTGAAGAGGAACATGATTAGAAACTATCTTTGATGATATCTGTGTCGCAGAAGATTTACTGTTGACAATTACTGTACATTTATTATGTATTACTGTGGTTCATTTACTTTTATTAGCAATAATTGGAAACATCCCAAAATTAAGGAAATTAGAAGTAAAAAAGGATCAATTATTGTCAGTTACTAAACAGTTGGTATTCATTTGTGTTTGAGGGGAAATAGTTGAAATTTATAGGAAAATTCTTGTCTATTTTTAAATGTTATATGAATAAAAGGTGTTGGGTATAATGTGTGTTTTTTATTAATAGTGTTTGTCATGTTTATTCAGTAATGTAGGCCAGTGACCCGTATTAATCATTCACTAATATATAAAGAGTCATAACAATAGACTGACATGTGCAGGACACGTTTGGATACTGGCAACATGTAACATAAACTCAGAGTAACATGACATCAATTTATAAACCAATGAATGCTGGATGTATGTACGTGACTATGACATTGCCTGTTGTCAAAATTATAATTGTTGACACTGTGTTCACATTGTATTGACGATCATAAAATCAGGAAGAGTATAACAATATAGTCATATAATGTAAATAGCTGACAGAGTATTTTGGTACATAAATGTCATGCATGAAAGAAAGGGATAGCTTTAGCTATGAGGAGGAAAAGGGGTTGTTTTATAACAAATTATTGGCGAAGACTATAATTTCATTTATAGTGCCATATACTGTCGGGAGTCTCCCTAGCTAGAGCAATAGCACACATGTGGCTGCCAGACATACTGTCACCACTCAGCCCGCTGCGCGCAATCTTTACAACACTCTGGGTATCACTGACCAATCGCGGGTCAACTCATTAATTCTTAATTACAACGCGCCCAAAGTACGCGTCCTGCATCAGATCACTCCAAGAAACCGGACAGACAAGACACACATCACGAACAGAGAAGAATAGGACACGCCACACGACAAGATCGGCAGAAGGTAAGGTACTTTATTTTAACTCAAGAACACAAGCAAGCCATAACGTTGGGCACACGCGTACAGGCCCTTTCAAGACTCTAAACAGACATTTTTATTAACTCACTTCGTATCTTACCTCCTCTTCCTCCAAGCCTACACACCATTTACGGTATAATTATACATATTAATATCATGCCTCCGTTCGTAACATAACAATACCGAGTATCTATGCGCTGTCAGCAGAGACTGGGCGCGTAGATCTCACTTGGTTATTTCATTACATACTCCCTGGTATAGTCATTTATTTCAACGATATCATAATTCAGACTTACTTATTTAGGTATTTGTCCGTGCCATGTTATAGTTACTAGTAATTTTATTCATTCTACCTTGTACGTGAAGCGGTTTATCAGTAAAGAATCTAAAACTTACAACTCAGCGGACGCTTCACACATCAGCAACTCCCGCAAACAAACTAACACCGCACGGACTCACGCACGCTCTACAACGCGGCTCCGTAATCCTGCTTACAACCGCAACACAACTTAAGCTACAGCTCAGGACACAATACTATCACGCCAACAGGCCACAATACTTTTCATATTTCACACGGCCATTCTGTTTATTACTCAACTACACCAGATCACGGCGCATCGCACTCCGCCAACCTAAAACGCAATTTGCAAAATTTCTTTTTCAAACTCGTTCTCACAGTGCCCTGCCGCTGTGTCGTCTCTGCACCATCAAGTCGGCAACTCAAAGGCAACACTGGCCACATGTGCATTGCGTAACAAACACCCACTGCCATTAATCATAGCCGGACAACGCATTTATTACACCACACATGGCAATTAACAGCCACACACGAACACGGATCAATTACAACGCTTCCGCAACTCTCTAGACACTAAGCATACAAACCAACATAAAAATCATAAGTAACGGTAATAATAATAATAATAATAATACATAAATAAATAAATAAATAAAATAATAAATAAACATAAAAATTTTTTT